TCACCGTCCACTCATCTAGCCCGCACTTCCTGAGTTTACCTACAAGGATGTGATGGGAGACAGTGTCAAAAGCCTTGCTGAAGTCCAAGAAGACAACATCCACTGCTCTCCCCTCATCTACCCAGCCAGTCTTTCCATCATAGAAGGCTATCAGATTGGTCAAGCATGACTTCCCTTCGGTGAATCCATGCTGACTACTCTTTAGTTTCTTCTACTACTCTACTTAGTTTCTTCTGCAGCTGCCAGCCTGACCCTGAAAGGAGAAAGAGAAGAGACACAGAAGCAAGAAAGAAGGGACGAAACCCCTGTAATGGAAAAGGTAACTAACTATGGCAGCTTATTTTGTCAAGAAATTAAGCAAGGCACCACAGCTAAAATGAACTGCTGTAATTTGCCTGTTGTTATTTGTCTAATCATATTGCTGGCTATTTGTTCACCTCTTCTTATCCAGTAGCAACTCGAAGAAAATTTTGCATAAACTTCTTGAGAGGAGCTTTTTGGTTCAGTCTTTATAATTCTGATCCACTATGGAAAAAAGCTTGAGCTATCCTTCAAAGGATTGCAGCAGAGCCCAGTTTTCATCACAAACAAGACTGGAGTTTTCTGTTTTGTCTTTTTGCAGTTCTCAGGGACTTACACAAGCATTAGCAATAAAGGATTGTTACAGGCTATATTAGTTAAAACCATCCTAATTTTACTATACAGAGATTTTTTTCCAACATACCAACAGCCTTTACTACTCTGTTACTAGGATTTTAAATATGATTTGAGCAAAATCAGATATACCAATAAAATATAAATGCCACATATGATATATTGCTGTTTTATTAGTTTTGACATTCCATGAAGACGTTCAGATTAGTTAAGGGTGAAGATGATGAACATGGTGGCAAGCTCCAGTGATTCTGTAACAGCAAAACCTAGCACGTAAAGTGAGACTAACGAACTCCAACACTGGCATTGTGAGATCTGTTACCTGACAATTCTGGACATAAATTTCACATCAGAATTCTTCATTCCAGTGAATAGCAAATAATGGTAAATCTGTGAATATTGTGCCAAACTCCTTTGGTTTAGTTAGTTCAACATCCTCAATATTGGAAGAGCTCTCCACTTGAAACATTTTAAAATAAATTCCTTAAGAAAAACAGCTTGATTACATAAAATTAGTAATGAAAAATTTCACATTAAATTTACTCTTTGCATAACAATTTTCATTGATCCTTAAAAGCATCAGAATAGTTTTCACTTCAGATCTATCTCCACAGCAGAAGATAGAAGACAGACAGACATGTAAATCAATGTAGTTTCCTAAAGCAGAACATTTAATAGATTCCGTAACTAAACATAAAAAATATTCAGGCTCATCATATTTCTCTGCTCTCCGATTAAAAAAATCTAAACGTGTTTTCTTTACCTCACTCATTAACCATTGTTTCTGTTTCAGTCCAATATCTAAATGTTGCGTTTCATCCAAAATTTCTTCTAGGGTTAATGGATGTGTATCACCACGCTGGTGCCGAGTCTGGAAGAATAAACAGGATCTCTTAGATATCTGCATTTACTTATTCAGAGACTAAATTATCATGAAGTAACTACAACCGGTATAACATGAGGACAAAATAACTTTTACTAATATGCACGATACATAAAAAACAATTTAGGGGCTTTGAAAATGAGGAAAAAAATGAGTTCAGCATCAGATGAGATTGATGACAAAGTCATCCGTAAAGCACCAAATCACAAGTTATTTTGCTAAATAGCTCATGAATACTAAAAGCTGATAGACCATCCTCTTGGTTTTAAACTGACCCGGAATCATTGGGATTTCAGTAACGGTACAGTATGCTGGCCGTTTTGTTTGCTGACATCATTTTGCATTTAACAACCAGTTTCTTAAAATTCTTACTCTTGCAGTGAAAGAATTTTAGAGTCTGAAATATTCAGCATCTTTTAACTTACCATAAGAGAAGAAATAACTAAAGCGTTTCAAAATATTATACTTTTAAATCAAATCATCGTACCTTCATATAATTCACTATTTTAGCAAGGACTCCAAACTTGTAGCCAGAGCCTCCTGAAAGGGCTTTCAAGTTAAATGATCCATTGCTGTGATCTACAAGAGGAAAAAAATGGATAAGTAAACAATGCTTTCAACAACATCTCGTTGGCTCTGCACGCTGTCCCTTTTATACTCTACTTCCACAGCCTTTCAGAACTATGAACAGAAATGCTATGAGTTCCAGAAACGGTTGCTCTCAGAGGACTCCTTGTTAACAAACATGTTGATCCAGATCCACGGTTGCCTGTTGACACACACTGGTCCAGAATGCTTCTGGGTAGAATTTCATAAACGTAAAAACACTGGGATCTGAGCTTTAAGAAGATAGCAAGCAATTGTATCATTAATACCATAAGAGCACGTGTGTTACTTCTCTGGCTTAACAATACCATAATCATTTATGCTACGTTAAATTATGCTGAAATAACGTACTGCATTTGTGCCAAACGGTCATCTCTATAGACAGCTATATAATTTCATATTGCTGAGGCAGGAACAGGAAGTTTCACTTACTATTATAACCAAAAGGTATTAAACAGCAAACAAAGTACGGTTTTGCTTTCTAACCTTTTTTACATCTGGCATATTGCACCACTAGAACAATTCAGTGCCCTCTCTGTTCTCAAGTCTGTTTGTCTTAATGTATGGTAAGGTTTGCTACTGTGTAGTTTGTTTCAATAATTCTTGCAGGCCTGTGTTAATTATAGTTTTGTTAACGTTATAATACAACACATTAAGCCGTAACATTCACAAGCCACTTATAAAAGCCACAGGTCCATTACCAGGATAACAGTTCAAAGTGAAGAGCCTTTCAGAACTTCAGCTACTCCAGGGAAAGAAAATCTCTCATTTTCACCATGGCAGTTTTTTTTTTAATCCTCTGGCAATTTCTAATCAAACTTGACAGGACAGTAGATATCTCAGTTGCTATTATTTCTGTGAAAAATCAGTGGACGTATAAGAGAGAGCAATTAAAATTAGTGCCTTAACTGAAGGAGAGGCTGCAGAAGGTGCTAAGCAGAGGACTCCAAGGCTTTTTTTTTTTCTTTTTTCCCCTACTGGGCAGCAGGAAGCTAAGGATGAGGCAGGTGGTAAGGAGGAGGGAAGGGATCTGCAGGCTTGTAGTGAGGAAAGACAAGTATGCTAGATACACTGGAGGGTAACAACAAATCAGGCTGCAGGAACCATATTTTGTTTGTTCCACTGCTCTGCAAATAATTTGTCTACCTAGCCTATATCTGAAACAAAGCAGCATTTTCAGAAAGCTTGGCAGCAACAAACACAGGAACATCCTGGAGAATCCCAGCACAAGTGAACACAGTGCAAAGGCCCATTCACAATCCATTTTCATCGACTGGGCAGACAAGAGGTAGCAGCGCTAGTAACTAGGAAAGCACAGCAAGCATGACACTCAACTGCGTTAACCCTCCCGGCCTGATGGGCTCCAGCGTTTCTTTCCAAAACAAGGGGAAGCCTTCCTGCTCTTTCATCAACATAAGGCCAAGAGGAGAATCCCTGTTTGAAAGCAGAGACTTGAGATTTTTAAACTCAACTTGCAAATTTGGGAAGCGCAAGCAGACAAAGCTTGATTCCTAGCAACTGTACAGGAGCAGCTATTTCAAGCCAGATGCATCAAAGCAGAAGCTTACAAAAGCTAGAAGTCGCTTTGAAACTCCTGAGCCTTTTTCGGACGCTTACGGACATCTTAGAGCTCCTATGTTCTAAGGAGGAAGCGCTGATGTTTTCAAGTCTTCCTTCCCACCTGAGACAGTACAAGAAGAAGAAATCAAAATGATTTGCTCTGCTCAACGTACTTCATCATATTCTAGGAAACACACCTAAATATATGCACCAGAGACTCATTAGTCCAGAGTCTCCACTAAGTGGCAGATTTAGAGAAAGTGTGTTATATTCAGAGTGTTTAAGTTTAGATGCCCTTTCTAAATTCTTTAAAGGAAACTGCAAATTAAGTTTCCAAAGTCAATATGCTTTAGTTGAATTTTGTTAATGCCTTTCGCACTGCATCTCAACCTACTACTAAGCTGACCTGCAAGCCACTTTAAAAGGCAACCAATAAATGGGAATTGTGGATCTAGTCAAATTTAAAAAAAAAATCCACTTTTGATAATTATTGTAAAGACTAGCATGGAAACTGGTGCTAGTAGAGTAAAAACATAATGCCCAAGGAACGAATGTCAAATCTAAAATTCAGCAACAGATAATTTTGAAGCTATTCCATGACATCTGAGAGGTTTTCCATAGCACAAGAATTCTGAAGTTAACACAGGAGAATCAACATACCTCTAGCTACACAAGAATATTTTTTTTCTTGTTAGTAAGTTCATTAAGACATAAAAAGGGAGGAACACAATGCCAGCTCCCCCTTTAAGTCCAGTCTGTATGGATTCCCCCTCAATCCTTTTTTACTATTAAACATTTATTTCTATTAAGTGAATTTTATAAATGAGAAAAATCACATGTGCAGAAGAAATCTAAAATGACTAAAACAAAAACAGCATTACAACAAACAGTAAAGATGTATTATGTATTTGTTTTGTCAATTGCATCAAGAAGATTATCTTGCCTAATCTGCCTGGCTACAGCATGCTACAGTTTGTGACAGGTAAATCTAACCACACTGTCAAGCTGGAATCTGCAGGTATTAACACATCAAACGTCATGGTTCGACCAGTCATTTTCCAGCACAAAGCAAAGCAGGTCATGGCCACCATCACACTCCCAAGGCACTTCTCGGCTAATAAGCTCACTGCACACACACCAAAAAAAAAAAAAAAAAATGTACGCAGAAAATAGAAACTGTCTCTTCCCACTCTTAATCCAAAACGGAGAGTCAAATTTATGAATGATTTACTCCTGTGGTTGAGGGCTTGATGCAAATGAGCATAAAGGAAGTTGTCAGCAGTATCATGCTCTGGCCAATAGTGGGAAAGCTCCATCTTAGCTGTGCCGTAGGCTGCATTAAAAAAAGGGAACGAACAGCGCTCTTTCAGCATCCTTTCAGACAAGAGGTAGGTGTGTACCATTTTATAACATTGTCTTAGGTTTATCTTGATTAATGAAATAAAATAAGCCTGTAGCCTACAAGCTTGTAAAAAGCTTCTTAGAATCGTGATGTTTTTTCCTCTAGATTTAGCAGGATTTTGTTCTGCTAAACACAGAGGAGCTTGTCTTGCACTATCAGACAAGCACTTTCACCATCTGCACACTAATGGAAAATTGACGACCACTCCTTCTTAAAAGAAAAGCTGATACACAAGCCAACATTCAGCAAACAAAATGGATTTGATGCTTACTAGTGAGGTAGCTCGTTTCCTGCTGCCTCACATTCCTTGTAATTTTTCTATGTTCTTTTAAGGAAACGATAATAAAAGGATTTTCCAAGAAAAGGGAGGGAGGCAAAAAAAGTCCTATAACCTGAAATTTAAGAATTTTATCTCATGGTTATCTTGTAAGTCTCATCAATTAAATTACCTACAGGAGATGTATGCTTGTGGATACGCTAGAAACATGTTCTAGAAATTGGCACATTAGCACAGGAAAAAGTCTTATTGCATATTATCATTGTAAATATTGGAGCACTGATCAATACAATATTAACAGGTTAGAATTCATCTAAGATTTGTAAATGCTGTTACTCCAAGATGTCTATTCAATCATTTCTTATACAGAACTTCCTCAGTACTGCATCAAAATGAATTTTTTGCCAGTCATTTCCCTCTGTTCCATGAACATAATCTCAAATAAACCTGCTTTTCTGCAGCATGCAAAGAATAAGATTCTTCTAAAGTCCAATACAGAAATTATAGAACCTTATTCATTAAATATTTAACTTACTGAATTTTGGACACATATAATAGCTGAAATGCATACAAACTAGACTGGCTCACAATATGAATTTAAATTATGCCCTTATAAAATACACAAAACTGCATGAAACCAGACTATTTTTGACAGCTTTCAAAGAGGCTAACCTTCTTAGTGCTAATTCTGAAAGCTCAGAAACGGCTACTTCAGTCTTGCATTTTAGTAATTAAAATAACATAGGTAGTTGATATCAATCTGCTCGCCTCAGTCAAATCTAAGGAGATCATCATCTTTAACAAGCATGATTCACCTCCAGCGCAGGCACTAAAAACAGCCTGAGTAAAGCTGAGCATCTCTTCCCCGTGCAATTCTCTGCCCTAATGGTGGCTGTGCTGGCTGTGGGAAGGGGTAGGCTGCTGCACTGCGCCCGTAGCAGACTGGCAGGGCCTCCTGCCACCTGGGGAGCAGATGGCCTCCTCTCAGGCCAGAGCTAGCATCTTTGCAGAGTGCTAGACCAGGAAAGGGTCTTGGCTATGCAATGTAAACAAGTCCAGCCTCTCCATTTGCCCCAAATCCTAATTTCTTTTAATGCCTGGAGAAGTTTTTGTGCCCAGCGTTTACAAAGCAAGTAAATTCACGTGCAACAGATTTCAACAGTCTTAGGAATCTGTTTAAAAAGCTGGAAACAAAAAACTTCTCCCTTCTTTCCCGAGGATATCTCTTGCTATTTAAAATACACATTTAAATAATGTTTGTTTTAATTACCCCTCAAAGGGGACTCCACAGCCTTTCATTCAGCCCTTCTCTCTCAAAAACAGATTTTTAAATGAGTCTTCAACTCAACCACCTCAGCGGAAACCCTCCTGTCTTTTAGTATCATCCCCCATAAAACAAGCCAGCTGAGTTTCCTCCCTAGACCAAGACCAAACCAAGCCACTCTCTCAAAGCCAGAACCGATCTCATTTCCATAGTACTTTTAGCGTGGATTTGCTCTGTAAACTCTTGTTTAAAGAGAGCCAGTTGAATTAATCCTACGCATCTCATTCACATTTTATGCACTCGATTTCTTTATCCTGAATCACAAATTTAACCGAGGAAACAATAAGTTACTGTACCTCTTCCAAGAAACGTCTGTAGCACAAATCCTGACTCAGGTTCTCTTCTCATCAACAAAGTCAATCTATTTCAATTTATTAAAGACGGAATGATAAACAAAATGCACAGTATGTGAACAATAAAAATAAGACATACATCAACAGCTGGTTTGGCTGCACCGTTTTCCATCATACTCTAATAACAACACAATTTAAAAACAACGACAGGTACTTAGACTGCTTTAAGTAATCTCTATCAGTAGACACCATCACACTTCTCCTTTGCTACTTTCTGTTTATCTAGGCATTTTGTGGTTTTCACCTTCTAAATACGCTGACTGCAGAATTATTTCTGTAACATACAAGGTTCATCAAAGCATTATCTGTGAGCTCATTTAGTAAACAAAACATCAGTGCTGTCCCTTTGTTCTGCAGTCCTCACTACTGCACCACCTGGACAAAATCAAGCTACATGCAGGTAGCCAAGAATATTTTGTAACAAATGTAGCTATGTTTTCACTTGCCACCTTATGTATAAAAGCAAAAGTCTTCTCAGTTAGGCATGAAAATAAGAGTTTATTTTTCTATAAAGTTACTGTTCTGTCCCTCTTGCATCTTCCCCTTCCAAAATCCCGCATTTTCTAGGGCACTTGAACAGACAAAAGCGCATTCTGCAGCTTGCCTGCTAGCTGACAGGCCTACATGAGGGGCCCGGGGCTGGCCAGTCAAGTGCTGCTCACCACTGTCTCACCTAAAAGCTGCCTGCCTTTCCCTTAATGAATACAGTGATATGCATCCACCCCCTTCACCCACATCCAGCTTTAAACTGCCTGAAGGATTCAGAGATTATTAACGAGTCCTCCAGTACGTTAAGCCAGGTATCCAGCAGCTACTGTGGCTCCTCAGGCGTTTTTTATTTCATTAGACAATACAATAAAAGTATTCTGAGTTGCCTAAGTGTTAGAAGAGAAAGTCAGGGGAAGAAGGAAGCAGGGGAAAAACAGACACACAACCGTGACCATGTTAACCCCAGATACCTCATCTGCCTACTTGTCCATAATTCAGAAAGAAATCAAGGGACAAAGGGAAAACAGCTTTTTTTTTGCTCTAGATGTACCACAAAGAGCGCTGAGACACAGCCTCCTTGCACATTTTCAAGCAGCGGGCTTCCCAAAACAGTGCATCTTGCCAGTGATACCATTCAAGCCAAAAGGAAATTTGTTGTAGCCAAACTTCTTTCTTCCCTTTCCCCCAGATCACAAAACAGTCTTTTGTTTCGCTGGGTACTAATACAGTATTGGACAAAAGATGACATCCTTTCCTTGTAGTTTAGTGAAGAAGGCTGAAAAGAAGTAACCAGAACTCCTCAAAAAAGTTGGGCTGGATTTTCCTTGTATTTATCCTATCTACCACAACACAAACGAAATGAGATTTCCAAATGCACTCAGGGCCATTCAGGCGGCTGAAAGAAGCAGCT